TGTTAACCCTCTAGTGTTGACCATGGCCCTATTTCGTTACATGTAGCTGAATCCTAAACCTAAGTCTAAACTTAACAGTTACCAAATCCAATGTTGGGAACCACGGACGGATAAGGCTCGATAGCTGGGGACAGCAACTCTTCGAGGATAGACAACTCCAAAATCAAACAACTGCTGCCTTGTAGGTTGTTCTTGGTTGGACAAAGGCTATGGAAGCAAATCCAAAAAGAAAAGCAGGCTGAAATCGTAGTCAATGGCCTATATTGTGCACAAAAAGTTGACCCGTAATACTTAGCTGGGTAAGAGGGAATCTTTTCCAACACAAAATTAAGAACGAAGAAGAAGTTACCAAATTAAAATAAATACAACTCATACAATACAGTAGGCCTATTATGCTGAACGAAAACATAAGAATGTACTTTAATAAAGTGGGTGAATGCAGGCATTGGGACTTCTCCAACCCACACCCCCTCGTATGCATTTCTACAACTTATTTGAAGAAGATACTGTGTCAATATTTCCCTCTCTGCGAGTTTCTTCCGCAAGGCACAATTTAAATATTAGCTTGTTTTTTAACTTAAAAAGGTCAAGGTCTCGTCGCTTCTTGTGCGGGTCAGAGTTCACCTTTCCCCCAGTCCCTGGTCATGGGGAGTGTGATGGGGGTTGGTTGAGGTGTGTGTGTGTGTGAGGGGGGGGTCTCACAATCAAAGTGTTAATATACCCACCTATATGTTTGGCTCCCGGTCAAAAAACCCCTTTATATAAACCTCAGTCGGGGGGTTATTATCCGGGGGTTTATGTCGCGGGGGGGGGGGGGGGTTATGTCCAGGGGGTTTATGACCAGACACCTACATGTTTATAGGTTTGTCGATTTGGTGCCGATGTGAAGTTATCCCGTCACGATACACTATTACTGTCCGCGTGATTGAATGGTCGAGCGTTTGGTTTGACTGCTTTCCCGAAGGTCACAAGTTCGGATCTCTGTTCGGACTAGTGACTGTAAAACGTCCCAGAGTCCACCCAGCTCCGATAGGTACCTGACTTTAGTTGGGGCAAGTAAAGGGCATAGTTCTGACAACACCATACCTTCGTATACAGAAGTCAAGAAACAAATGATGAGCTCTACTTTATCTACCCAATGCATCGCTAGGTCTAAAGAGGAATCTTTACTTTTTAAAAAGAAAAAAAGCTATTGCTAGATGCAAATATTATCAGTACAGATAGATATGTGCAGACAAACAAAAATTGTGGACGCACCAGTACCTGTAAAATTAGACAGTAGCATTGGATAGGTGTCAAGTTATTAATGTGCATGAAATATTCATGGGCACGATCCTATTTATCAGGTTTCCAAAGCCTTATTCTCGCCTCACTACACCCCCACCCTTTAAGTAATGGATACGGACACGGCTACTTAGTGACGTATTTAACGTTTTGTATTTTTGCTCAGAAATATTTTAGTCATAATGTCACCTCTCCCATTTACCCTTCTAATAGATGAAATGTGATTTACGATATTTAACTATAAACCCTAAATAATGGTTAAACCATGGTGATCTCAATAAATATTACTTTTCATGGGACAGTTTGGTCTAGCGGTAGAGCTCTAGACTGCTAATCCGAAAGATTCGAGTTCGAAACCAGTTTCAAGTCAGTAGAACGTCATTGAGTTCTTCAAGCACTGATGAGTACCTAGCTCTCGTTTGGGGAAATATAAAGGCGGCTGTGCATCGTGCTAACCAAAGTATCACTTCATGTGCCGAGGTAATTGAAACATACCAACTCTACTTCATCTACCCCATGTGCCTTTGGCACACACGAGAAAAGATGATGATTACTATTTTCGCCATTGGTGTCACCCCCTCCCTCTTTGTCTCATGGTGCGGTCATTTACTCCGTCTTCCCCCCCCCCCCCCATCACAACCCCCACGCCCTTTAACCTCGCTACCTAATTTTCGAGTAGCTCACTTCTAGAAAGGTCGATTTTCGTAAGGACAGACCAGGTAAGTAGATTAAAGGTGTACTTGTGTGCTACAGGAGAAGAGAGGTATCTTAGGTTACGTACACACCAGTGTTTCTTTCACACGTCTTTATTTTTCTACGAGGGGTGGGGTCGGGGACACTAATATATATATATATATATATATATATATATATATATATATATATATATATATATATATATATATATAATTCTATATACATTCTTTTTTCGTTCGGGGTAGGTGCGGGTGGAGCGGTAAACATGCATCGGGGATGGGGGGGGGGGGGGCGTTAGACATGCTAGGGGTGGTATGCACTGCATTGAAGAAATGCATGAAAGAAACTCTGGTTCACATGCGCTGACAGACACGAGTAACGAACATCCCATTTTGTTTTTGGCCGTGTAAATAGCAGGCGTCATGCAAAGACACGTTCGATATTAGTGTAATTATAAGCGGTTAATGTGGACATATTTGCTGGTTTGGGTACAGTGAAGGAAGGTTTATATTTGTTTCGT